CGGAAGAAATCGACCAAGAGCGTCGTGCGCAAAGCCGTGTGAGAAGAAAACAAGAAAACAAACGATGTCGCCCAAAATGGACATGGCCGCTGTTTGGATTGAGGCATGATGACAAGCAAATCGCCCGTGCTTCTGGAATTCACACGGCTGCTCGGCGAGGGGCACGGCGGGTACATATTCTGCTTACTGGCTTTGTGGCTCATGCGACAACCATTCCTCCCCGCTGCCCTGATAGACGTGCATCTGCCCTCCTGGGGTGCGGTGATCCCGGACGTAGCTTGGGAAGACGAGCGTCTGCATCGGCTGTGCAATATGGCGCACGTACTCGCGCTTGTATCTCAGTTAAATAACCCACGCGATTCAGAACGAAGTTGAATTTTCAGTTTTGCCCTCTTCTCTCCTCACGACTCTGCTGCTTGTATTGGTGAGACTGCAAGTATAGATATGCTACCTATCGTTCCCGAGCGCGAGCGCGCGTCTAACTCTTTAGCTACAGTGGGTGCCGAGTCGACGAATGACGAGCTCCAGAAGGGTATCTTGAGGGCCGCGCTCTGCTACTCCGAGGAAGAGGGCACGAAAACTATCGTCGTTAACTGCGTGGTTTGCCCCTTCAGTGTTTAATCGCAATTGGAGCCCCTACCATGCCGGATTAGAACGCAACTCCATATCACATGCATGGAGGCCATGGGAAACTGACCGCCTCGGATATTAAGGCAAGGGCCTTGGCTTCGTGGCGATCTTCTTGAGCTCCTCCGTCTTTCTGCCTGAATAATGTTGAATTGGTGTTGAATGAAAGACGCGCAGGCTGCACACCTCCTCCCGTACCTCCTTCTTGCCCTTTGCGCCTCCACGCCCATATACGTTGACAAGAAACGTGTCGAGTGAATGGTCTACTCTCGAGCGCGATGGGATACTCGCGTCGTTCTTGATCCGCTCTACGGCCCCGACACCTTCTCCACTGCTGCCCTTTGCCTTCAGAACCGAGAGCCAGGCACAAACAAGAATACTCACACAAACCTCGTCGAGTGCCCCTGCTGTATTTTCATCCGCGTACCCAGATCCGCTGCAAATAAACCATTAGTATACCCATACCTCTCCGGCCACACAGCGACACACAACTTACAGGCTTCTTGCAGTTGTTCTGCACCATCGACGGCTTGTATTTCGCAACGCCTCAGTTCAATATTCATCTTCTTGGACTGCAGCCCGTACTGTGTTCACAAAATCAGGCCGCGAGAGCTCCGACGAGGACCCCGACTCGGAGTCCGGTGTCCACGCATACGTATATTTTGTGGGCGCCTACACGGGAGATTCTCTGGATGGACAGTCGACATGAAGTGGGAAGAAGCAGGTTTTGTTTGGTCGTGTTTTTCAAAAGCTTCTCAACGAAAATATTGGCACTCCTGTATTCGCCCTGACAATGCCAGGGTGAGTGCCACTCCTTGAGAGGGATCGACTTCATAGTAATGATGTACTATTTTATAGTCATAAATCCAATTTATTTTAGTTGAATGACAAGCCTAGTACAAGGTTAATAGAAGCAGGTTTCTGTAACCTACCGAGACGGGATTCACCGGCCATGGGAGACTAATCCGACCCATGGATCCACGGAAAGGATTTGATTGAGTTGCGTATCGGGACAAAGGAAAAAATGGCTCCTCCGCCGTGCGTTTCGTTGCGGGTGGATGGACGCTCTCGTTACCGAAGGCGCTCGACATGGGTCGCATGAAGTGCAAGAATGAGGAACATGCTCTTCTTGCCGCGCCGATGCTTCTGCTGCGACGTCGGCGGCTGCTTGCGCGTAGGCTTGTTAAGGAGGTCTTCCCGCTTCTCGTTCTTGGTCTGCTCGACGGCTCGCTCCTTGAGAAGGCGCGTGCGGAGCATCTGGTCCCACCTGTTCTTCTCTACTTGGGCCGCGATAGCCTTTTGGGCGGACGGCACGGCGTGCAGCGGCAGGGGAGCTACTCGGACCCGAGGCCCCTTCTGTGTATCCGACTCTCCACGATGAAAGAAGTTCTCGATGCGAAGTCGACGATGGCTGAGGACGCGAGATTGGGGAGAGCTCGCAGACGCGTAACCTCAATCGCGCAGAGGATGAGCGGTCGTATCGCACTGCACGGTCTTGATGTCCAAAGTGCCGATGGGGTGTCCGTGGGATTCGAAGTCGCCGCCGAAGGTCTGTGCGTAAGTTGCGCAGAGTAGTACAGCGCGCGGACGCTCCATCGGCGATTCGCTGGTGGCCGGGGAGGTGAGTGGCTGGAGTAGACGTTTAGGGGAAGGCAGGAATTGAGGAGGCAGGCAAAGAATGGAGGAGGGTCGGGAGAGCGAAAGGGAAAGGTAATGAATTCGGGCAGAGCCTATCTGCATTCCTACAGATAAGCAAGAAGCCAGTGTATACAGAGCCAAACAAAGAGATGCTTCTGTCCATTTTAGGAGATTTTAAGTAGTCTCGCTGTATTCGAGCGCAAGGCAGGCAGTGGGGTTGATTATTAATTAAGATGAGTTCAAACCTCGAAATCCCATTTATCTACTCCTAGTGACTGGATTTTGATCTTCTATTCCACCGACTCATTTCGACCATTTGGCAAGCCCAGCATGGATGAAAATTATTTGGAGGGAAGAAAAGATGTTTGGATATCAAGAAAGCTTCTGAGCTCACGCTGCGACCCTAGTCATCACAGTTTGACTGAGATTTCGACATTTGTGCTAGATGCGACTTTACTGCAAAAAGGCTTCCTGGTATAACCTGGGGTCATAATCTGCCAATAAGAGGCCACAGTGCTAATTATATTGAGCCATACAATCCACTGGAATTTTATTGCATGCTCTCAGAGAGCCTGTCTGAACATAGGTCCATAATACTTTATTGGCTGAACCTTTAGGTTTAGCTACCCTGGGGAACTTCGGTTTCGATCCATTTTCCTAACATGCACAAACAATATTTTGTCATCCAACATTGGTCACCGCGAAAATAAATCGAAAGAAAGTGGGATAAGACCTAGAAATAAATCAAAATGCCAGGATATGTTTTTTAACTTCTTACCCACCTGAATCCCCTGGTGTAAGCCCATTTCATCCCCTGGAACCAAAGAGATTCTCTAAGTTCGATTTTCTGTGATTAGTCATTTCTGCTTTATGTTCGGAACAGTATCCGTCGATTAGTCAATCAAGCTTACCGATACAACCTGATCTTCGAGCTGGAGTAGATACTTCGAGCCCCTTGTCGAGCCCACACTCCTTGCTTTCGACTGCTTCTAGTCTGACAGAGGCAACATACCTGTGCATTGTACTGTACCAGTTCAACCACAAGTTCAGTCACAGGTCACACCACTGGAAGATTCGTGATGTGCACCATAAATCGAAATAATATTCCTCGGCCTTCTCGGGTAAAAATTGAACTTGAACTTGTGGTTGAACAGTACCTCGCATGCTGTATTGCTCCCTCCTCCATGTCCTCTGGCTACTGTGATGTGCTGTATCCACTGGGTTCAATGGCCATGCTGCACAACTTGAACCCTCCGTGTTTCTCTGGAATGAATGATTGATTCTGAGCTCCGTACACAACCTTAAGCCTCTGGGCTCCTGATGCTTCATGTGATGTAGGTGACATGTGTCTATGTTCTTGAACAATTTTTCTGTGACTGCTTCTCTGGCTTCTGACTGGGTGTCTGCCTTGGATTGGTAACTGGGTTACTGGTTCAACTTTGTGACCTGAACTTGTGGAGGTTCTGACAGTGGGTTAAAAAATTCAATTCGGGTCTCTAGTTGCACAGGTCAGCGGCATTTTTCAAGTCTCTCCCCCAATTTTTCTGGCAAAACTGGACCATTAGCATCCATTGAATGGTTTACCTACTCAGACTCCAGTTTCCCTCAATGGTTACTATTATTTGACTTGATGTTTGTGCCGTCATGTATACCTAGAAGGGGCACAGGACAAATTGACAAGACCTTTTGCATAATTCTCATTCAGATGGACAGCTTTTGCATTATCAATTAGGATGCAACGGCTGCTTACAAAAGAAAATGCCCCATTTGTTTGTGACTTTCGCTAGTCCAGGCCAATGGCTTGATCTCTAGAAACAGGTCGGTGCAACAGATTAAACGGTCTTAAAGCAGGGATTATGCCCCAGGTAGAAGTTCCATTGGGAATTCTACCAATTTTCGGGCACTGAACACGTATACTTCTCAATTGCTCGTCCAGTTGTACAGATAACATGTTCATTGCATTAGAGAATGGTAGTATTTCCACGTTGTGCTTATCCAATGTAATGGTTTCAAGCTCTTCAAATTGAGAACTAATTTGTTGAACCTCAGGCTAAAAAGCTGGTATATGTGTATTTGTACGAATATTGACTTAGTGTTTACCCCTACCTAAAGGTTCAGCACCCGCCTCGAAGAGGCCCAATCCCAAGTCATTGATCTACCATAAAAGTCATTCTTCTAATTTGCAACCTGTACAGGGACTATATTCACAGGGAAAAAATGAGTAAAAGGTCTTATAAATCCTAAAGCCACTCAACAATTTTTTCGTACTTTTAGGGGCCTGACTTGGATGAACAAGAGGGTGAATGAAGGTAAGCTCAAGTTCTGTTCACGTGCCATTGTGCGGCTTAGTCATGTCAATACACAGCCACTATTGACGGCTTTGAGCGGCTCACCTCCTCCTTGTACCTCTGTCTTGCCGTCCCTCCCTCCACATTTCACTCCCTCAAAGTCTATTCTCCAGCTATACAACAATCTCCTCTTCACCCTTGTGCCCCTAGTGGTGCTCTAAAGCTCTGCTAATTGGACATTTGTTTCGCCCAGGCACTGTCAGGGTGAAAATGCCGATCAGGATTTTACAGGTCAGATTCAGACATACAGGTCAGATTCAGACTGGTGCTCTAAAGCTCTGGACATTTGTTTCACCCAGGCGTTGTCAGGGTGAAAATGCCGATCGGGATTTTACAGGTCAGATACCGACCAGGATTTTGTACGTCAGATTCGCAACCTGCGCATCAGCCCACTTGGCTAAGTGGTTCACAGCGCCGCACTTGTACATTGTGTATTATGCGGAGATCACTCGTTCAACTCGGGTAGTGGGCAATGTTTTCTCTTTTTCCTTTTTCGCGACCATAAATGCCAATGAAAGTCCAACGCAGGCTAAGTGGTTACGGCGCCGCACTTGTATATTTACTTGCGATGCGGAGATCACTCGTTCAATTCGGGTAGTGGGCATTTCATTTTATCTCTCCTCGCTTTTTAGAATGACTCAGCAGTGAAAAAGACAGTATTGGGCGAGTAGTGAATAATTTATGCCGACTCATCCAGTCAAGGCGCACTATTATCGAGCCGCAGCGAGAGAACCGGCCAGTAGCAAGGGCCAAATAAAATGGATATTTACAGATGACTAGGACACTTTTGAAACGAAACCTGGTTAGTTCTAGATGGCATCGTTCTCGACAAGTTTGCCACAGATGATGTACTTGTTGGAAAAGTGGTCAATCCAGCCTGAAGAGCATGAATGAGACTCATTAGATCAATATTGATGCACAAAACAGACCTCTCATGTTATCTCTGGGGAGTAAATGAGAGATTAGAGAAATAGTTGTGCACAAAAAAGAGACACTGACATCTCATCTTGCTGGAGGTCGGTGAGCTTGTCGAGAGATTGGTCAACTGGGGTCAACATTTCTAGACCGCAGTGTGAGTTGCGGAGATGCAGAGTAACAAGAGGAGTACCAGTGTCAAACGACTGCTTTGCCATCCCCCTGGACGCATCTCTCCCCGCAAAGTTTCCGTACATTCCATCTGCAGCTCATGAACAAGAATCTCACGACATAGCATGCAAGAGACGAACTAGGACCGTAGAAATTCCTCCCCGCGGTGACATCGAATACAATGCCATTTATCGCGAGCAAGATGCGTCCTCCATCCTTGCCCGAGAACGGCTCCAGGGTCTTGGGAGTGTACGTCTTGAACAAGACAGTCGGCGGGTGCGATTTAGGCATCCATGAGTAACCGGCTTTGAACTCCCGCGGAATAGTGGCTGGTTTGGAGACACTTGGGAACACATGCGCTGCACAGAGTACAGGATAAAGAGGAACAGAGCAGTATTTACTGGCGTTCCGAGCTGCAGTGTAAAGGCCATCGTGAAGAGTAGCTCAGTAAGCGTCACGGTGTGACTAGTGTGACCTCACTGCTTTCACCGTAACTCTCACCAGCTATCTGCTCGCTGGCGCAACGGTAACACACTGGTAACATCATATCACTTCTTCCTTTCTTCCATGATAGTACTGAGTATGCACTTTATTTTTTCCTAGAGAAATTTCTCATTTCTCCCTAGATTCACAAGACGGCACAGCCGGTAGCACGAGTAGTGGTTCTGTCGAAAAACTACCAGAGTATACTAGTATAATTTCTTCAATTTCGGTGTAATTTCCTGCTGACTGCTGGCCTAGCTATGTAACCTCAAACCGTTCTCAACCCCCGCGCTATTCGCGCGTGCGCAAACCGAAGAATCCTCGCTCCTACACATTCAGCCCTCATCCCTTAGCCATTGATTCAAATTCGATGCTGATGGTCCCACCAGAGGATGAGGACGACCAGGGCCAGTACCGCATAGCTGTATCTCTGAACCTCAATCCCTTCGTTCCAATCTCCTACCACACATCGGTGCATCGTGTGGAAGGTGAAAGAGAGACGTTTATCGGGAACTTCGAGTACGCGGCCAACCATGCAAAGTGTCCGATATCATCTCTGACGACTACGTAGACTTTCATTGAACCACCGCCGAGCTATTATAACGATCGGGGATATAACGACGCGTCTCTCGAATGTGTTATTCAACGTAAATTCTCCCGTATGTGCCCCACACTTCGCGTCGGTTGCGACTTTAAATGCGCATTCACAGCGACACTGGACTTGGAGGTGGGATGAAATCGGCCTGCGGTGGGATTGCCGCACTACGCTTGAAGACGGGTCTCCGATGTGTATTGTAAGTGCAGTGCAGTTTCATCTCGTATACATGCTCATTTGCTGTAGTGCTATACTTTACAATCGCCTAAGCAACTGGCTTCATTCGTCCCCCCTCCTCTCGACGCCCCTCCACCGCTTCCAGAAGCTGTGCTTACAATATTCCCTGACGGACACGAGTACTTTGACCACATCCTACTCTCCGCATTGATTATTCAGCGCAAAATAGGGCTCGATTTTTAGTTATTGTGCACATAATAAATGGTTTTACTTCCTGCATTCGATCGGAATCCAAGTCGATGCCCGTCGATTCTGAGTACCCGCATGGGGAACGCGATCTCTTTCTCATAGAGGGAAGCACCCTTTCTCGGCTACTTTTCTATGGCGTAAGTACATATTGTGCTTGGTTCAGCGCTTGTACGGAAATTAAATTCTTTGAACCTTGCTTTGAACTCCGTCTCTGCCCTCGGATCGGACTGCCGATCAGAGTGTGGATCATAATCATACGTCACGGAATCTAATTGTCTACCAATAGGGCTCGGCGCTCGGTCCCAAGTACTTTGACGACACACAGGTTCCTCCGCCGCTTCGACGCCGGAAATTACAATTACTCGCGGCTACAGCTTGAGAAGATTCGCGTCTTCTCATTATTATGGTGGTACGTCTTTCGCGAAAACTCCTGCCACCGAGAATCCTGGCAACTTGCTGGCAACACAATTGAAGTTCAACGAACCAAGGCAGGTGAGCAGCCGGGATACAAATGGGCGTGCGAAACAGCGCAATTACAAGGCACCATCGTGACCGAGGAATGGACACACAATAAAATGGACTTCAAGTTCTCGGAGTCATTGGCGTGGATGGGACAATAAATGTCTTCTCGGCAAGGTATGCATCCGCTAGTCGCGTGGAATTGACCCATTATTCGTTGTGTGTGTATGTAGCGCAATCTTTTCTGCTTGTTCCAAGCCTCCGAGAACAAGTTCACCAAGAAATTCACTTCGCACCTTGACGCGACCACTTCTGCGTTTTTGCTTAAAACCTTCACATGCTGTGGAATGATTCTCTAAATCCGCGAACTCCAAGACAATTGGGTGGCGAGCCGCACGAGCCCAAATGGGATTTTTACAATTAGAGCAATGTGACGGCATCATCAGTTTGCTTCCCAAAGCAGAACGCCTTTTGAACTTGTCCTATTATGTGCCCGACCTGCAGGCACCGGGAAACTGAACCCGGATCACTCAGATTAGGTGCGCCTACAAAAGCGATTGACAATGTGTATTTAGTTATTGTACCGGAAATCTATAAATCTGGTTAGTGTTTTCGACTCCACCAACTTGAACCCGGTCCCGCAGTTGCAAAGATCTCCTTTTACTCTTTATATTATCCCGCCATGCATCGCCAGTCTACTTCTAAACGCGCCGGCCCGTCCAACTTCCAGCTCCCTCGGACTCTTGTGCGGCCATCGTTCACGGAGGTTGCGCGCGACGCCCTGCTCGCCGCGTCTCCAGATCTCGGAAATGTATCTGTCGAATTTATCCGCAAAAATCTCCTCGCAACTGCCCCTCAGTGAGTTGTAAGACTTTGAATAATTTTATGTTTGCTTATCGCGTCGTAATAGAATGTTAGCCGGCACTTCAGCTCTCTCCCCATCACATCTCCCTAGCGCACTCCCCAAGTCGAGTCTCCCACCGTACATCACAGTCCCCATCTTTCCCTTGCGAGACTGCATACACCCGTCTTACCCCACCCATGCCCTAGCCATTTCTACGCATGCCCATCCGGACCCGATGACACCCACCTCATCTTTCCGATTCACGCTCTGGTGCTCGCCGCCCATTGCTCAAAACTCCCCCGGCTCCCTCCCCCAGCCCCGCGCGCGTCCGCTCCGTGCACCTTCCTGTACTCCCGCTCGCCCTTCCTTCTGCCCCAGCATTCGCAATCTTACATGCCTTCATGTACTCTAAGCGCCTAGACGCCGTCCTGACCGCGCTCTTCCCGATACCCCCACACTTTCTCCGTGCTCTCACGCACAAAACCGTCCGCGCGGCCCTGCAGTCCGGCGCCGACCTCCACCACCTCTCTGCCCACCTCTGCGCCGCGTCCACGTCGAATGTGCAGGTCTTGATGACGCACACGGCGCACGTCAAGGAGCTCTGGCAGGACATGGTCGCGCTCGGCATCGATGATACCGCTCTCTGGGACACGGTCGAGCTCGCATACGAGATCGTCCTCGGCGCCCTCAACCTCGCCGTCATGGCAAGATAGAAGCGCTCGATGTGCCGCCGCTTGATGCGCCGTCCTTTTTCTTTTATGTATCGATAGCGGGCTTGGTAGTATAAGGTTTTTGTAATATAAGTACATACAACAATGAAGTATCTTTCGATGCTTTAAGACATAAAATCCCATGAATCCCCGACCTAAATTTCAATAGTTTAGATTTATTCTTTAAATGAATGGATTTAATTACCTTCCGCAGCCCCTTCATGAATCCCTTTGCTGCTTTCTTCGCCTTGGCGGTGGTTTCAGCTTCAACAAACTGGATGTGACGGTACTGGTCTGGCCAGAAGAGGTGGACGCTACATCGAAATTCGAAGGACGTGTAGTGGGCGTCTTCTTCGGCAGCCGCCGCGCCGACCGCCGCTTGCCCTTGTATTCTCCTTTCAGCCGTAGGATGGCCTCGCGGTTCTCCCGTTCGAAGAACTCGCACGCATCGAGAAGCAGCTTTGCATCTAGTGCCGTTGCGCGCGCGACGACTGGGTGGACCCGGGTCAGCGCCAAAGAATACACCCAAGAAAGCAACTCACCCTCTTCGTATGTCGCTGGGGATATCTGGTTGTTGCCAATGATCTTGGCCTGCACGAGTTGATTTAGCTCTCCAAGGCCCCAATAGTTCGACAGACTGGAAATTATGAGAAAAGCAGAACGAGGAAGGGCTTGACTTACTCCATAACGTCGAGCAGATCATCAAGCCGCTCCAAACCAGGAGCTTTCGTCAAATAGAGATAATCTGTAAGGAATTATGAGCATCGGATAGGATACGTGCACATGGTGAAGAGCCACCCACCCAAGACAGCCTCGACACACGGTCCGGAATAATCCACCTCAATTTCCACAGGATCATCTGCGGTTCC